CCTCCTGAGCATCTAGGAGCACAGATATGTGCCACCATACCCAATTACTTAAAGTTTTGTGCTCGCTTTGGCAGCACGTATACCAATTACTTAAAGTTTTTATGGACTAGTGAAGCACAAAAATCATCCATTTAATTTTCATCTTTCTGAAGTTGCCACGGCAGACTTTTGCCTGCTTTGCAGTAGACAGCCCACTCTCACTGCAAATATAGTGTTATTTTCGTGGTCCTTGTAGCAGGTTCATCAAATACTGACACCTGCCAGGTATCCACTTGATACCTATTACATCTTGACTTGGTTTCTGAGCTGAGTTGTGTGATGCCCCAGGTGTGGGAGATTGGGATTATGTCAACATGAAGAGGGAGATGGTTTAAAGAAGCACTGTATGTGGGGAGCTAAGTGGCACAAAGCTCTAAGACAACCTCCTTTTTAGCCCTATTTTTATGAAATTGACTGTAATTGGTGCTTCCCTGAGCATCAGTGCTCTCCATCTGTAGCTGAGAGCCTCTCTGAGCTTAGCTTTTCCTCTCTAGCTTTAAAAACATCAAAGCAACCATATCTAGGCTAATCTTGATAACTAAAAGCCCACACATGTTTTGAGGATGTTAATAGAAGATGGCTTTTGGACAGAAAGATTTGATCCATGTGGCAAAGCGCTTTCAGGGGCTTATGTAAAACTAAGCTGGATTTGTACAAAAACCTTGCAGTATAATGATGCTTAAAAAAAAACAAGTAGGAAATTTCAGAGAGTGGCCAGACATTGGGGCTGGAAAAGGCTGCTTTCCTAACATTCCACTTATTGGCTCTGCTTTTTACCAGACTGCCTTCAATTTTTAAACTCCCATTTTAATTTCCAGAGGCCTGCATATGGACATGAGGTGTGAGCAACAGCTTCCATGTAACCCAGGAGACTTAGAGAACAAATATTCATAAAAACTCTAGTAGGATTTCTTTTTAAAGCGTCTCTTTGCCAGAGTTCTCCCTCTTGGATTCAGATGGTTTATTAAGTCCCAGCTCCTGCAACTCCTGCATTCCAGGTAGCAGGCAGAACCAGTTTTCTTGCCTAGAAGGCCAGAGGGAGGTCACCAAGTAGGGGAGGTCTGAAGGCAGGAGCCAACCTGGCTGCTAGGATGAGAGGGTCAGCCCCTAGCCCCTGCTGGCCACCTTCACAGTCCTCAGAGAGAATCCTCTCCAAGTAGACTTTTCACTAGTAAAAGAGGCAGAGCCTGAAAGGCCAAAGGGTGAACTCACAAAGCTGTTTATGAATTGAGTTAGGAGCCATCCAGCCCCTTCAGAATCCTAAAGTGATGGACAGGGAAGACAGTTCTTTTATACATGTGTGCAGTCATTCCGTAAAGGAGAATGGATAGCTTAGTTAGGTATCAGCCCACCTCTTCAAGCTCTTCATAAAGTACACTACTGGATCCTTTTATTATGAATGGAAATAGCCTTCACATCAAAGAGAAGTAAAAGAAATCCGTGTGAAACCATTTGGCACTGGATGTGTGAATCAGGAAGTCTTATTCAACAATTTCCTCCTACATAGGAACCATTATACTAGCTCAGACCCGAGCTGTGTTGGTCCAGCTGTTTCCCTCTGGGGCTGCTGGGAGGAGGGAGATGATGGCCTGCCCCTTCTGGTGCCACCATGCATATGGAAGGCCTGAGCCTCTTAATACCTTTACTTTTTTGTTATTGGACAAACAACCCCATCCTTTTCTGAACTCTTTTTAATTTTCTGCCTTAATTTTCTTTTTGGTGCAGTGAATTCCATATTCAGAATAGAGCATTTGAGCACTTACTGTGTGCCAAACTCTGTGGGAGCTGCCATCACACATGTTATCCTCCATGTGGCACAGGATATCCTCCATGCTGCCAGAGGTGCCACTGATTACTTTCTCAGTGGAGTTACAGAAAGGGAAGACAGAAGGAAATGGGAGTCCGAGGAGGTAGTTGCTCTTTCCAACATGGGAAAGGCAGGATCCATAAACCTAAAGTCTGTGCTTCCTGCATTTTTAGGGAAGTCAGGCTGAAGTCGGGGTCAACTGCTGATCCCAATAAATGAAACAGTATAAATACTAAGCATCATTTAAAAAAAAAAACCTCACCTACTTTCTTTTTTTTTCTTTTTTTTTTATGGTACTGGGGATCGAACTCAGGTGCTTGCACTTGCACAGCAAGCGGTGAAACCACTGAGCTAAATCCTCACCTACTTTCTTAAAATTGTTTCTGGCTTATAAATAGTTGTTTGAATCTGTAGAGGTTGCCCCACCATCCATTATCCTCTTGTGATGCATGAGAAAGGCAGGTCCGCTCTATAGGCATTTCTCACCAGCTCTGTCCTCTTACTTAAATCTGAATCCTTCCTTCCAAAGTGAAGTATAGAAATCTGATTTCCACCCCTGTCTAATTCCATAGGTCAAGGACAATTGTTTGTAGACCTTTACATTTTTAATATCTTAAATTAATTAAGGGAAGTATCTGTGATTTACAGAGATGGTAGAATTTCCTAAGGAAAACCTGAGATTTTATAATAACACTCACAGTAGTGAATTTGGAGATTTCTATGTAACTGTATTTCTAAAAGGGAAAATAAGCCTGTACTTTGGGAATGATACAGATAGAAAAAGACGAACTCAATTTTTGCAGATACTGATCCAGAATGAGAAATCTGGATTAATTTATACAAGACAGGAAAGGCATAGAATTAAATTCATAATTTCTACATATCAGTTAGACTTACCACAGTTTAATTCTAGAACCCAAAACATTTACCTTTTCTGCCTCTTTCTTGTAAAGATGCTTGAGAGAGTAAACTTTGCGAAAGTCAGAGAAGAGAGGGTGAAAGGTTCTATATAGTAGATTCCTAGATATATTTGGTAGGCAGAAGAAAGCCAAATTGAAGTCTTGGTAAACTAGTTATGTGCTTTGCTATAAAAGATTAAGATTAGTCATAGGCAGTCTGCTTTTCTTATCATTGGAATAAGGAACCAAAGATCTAAGGGTACCCTGGGAATAACACTTCTGGGTGGAGCTGTATCTTCTTTTCCACTTGGCAGTTGAGCTTCCTGGCCCTGCCTCCTACCCAGGAGTCAGTTGGTGGCTCAAGGAGATGTTGACAGCTGGAAGGTGCTTGACCTGGCTTTGTTAGGTACCGTGCCTGCCTGCCAAATTGCACCTTTGTGTGTGTGTTGGGAATGGAAAGAGTAGGGATTTTTTGCTTAGGGTGATGCCTGCTGCTTCACTTGCTGTGCAAACTAAGTAGTTGTCTTAGATACTACAAGCCTGTAGTATAAGAAGGGGCCAAACCTACCCCCTGGACACAGGAGGAAGTTATGGGGAGGAAGCATAGAGTGGAGGTTCTGATCTGTCACCAGGTAATGGAGGATCTCATGGAAGTTACGTGTCCCCATTTCATTTCACTTAAGTTTCTCATCACCTAAGAATATCAGGATGCTCTAGGTGAGGGATCAGTTAAGAACACTGGGCATGGAGTTAGCATAATGGGCTAAGAGAGGTTTGAGCACCACTAGGTGGACTGGGCTAAGGAATATTAGGAGGAACGGAAGTAGATTGATCTGAAATAGATGTGCAATAATGATTAACCTAATGTCTTTGCATATTAACATGGATGTCCTGGCCTGAAGTCACAAGAAGGAACATGGAAGTGATGCCAGGCATGAGGAATAGCAAGGGAGCAAGTCCAGTGGAGAGTGGATTAGAGCAATACTGTATACATGGCATTCTGAGGTTCCAAATGGTTCATGAAGATACTAATGGGAAACGTGAGCAAATCGCAATACTGGAAAAAGCATAGATAAATTATACATTTATTGTCAACGAGGCCCCAGAGACTTTTTGAAACCCTGGTTGTCCATTTGGAAATGCAGTACCAATTCTCATGGCAGTGAGAAGTTCTGCAGTTCTTCTGATGTGACCTTGGGGGCTGTGAATACGATCACCAGACTGAAAGGTGTCACCTGAAGTCAGAGCATCCAAGATGTGATGAATGTTAGATGCAGTTATAGGGTGGCAGTCACAGTGAAATAAACCAGTCTGTGGTGTAGGGATGTTTGAGGCTCCCTAGGTGCTGAGCCTCCTACCCAGTGTTCTGAAACTCTCCATAATTCACATTTCTGTCAAGTTTAGTCTTTGAAAAAGGTAAAAAGTGACCAATCATCAAATTATAATCAGTGACCCGCACTGGAGACCGTGCCCCGAGAACCCTGCCTGCCCTGCTTCTTACCATGGGGCTACTGAAGACTCTGCCCAAGAGCAGCTTCTTTCTCCTGTCCTTCTAATTAAGCAATGGGGTACTGGGGTCAGGGGCAAGCTCCCTTCTTGGGGTCCTAAAGGAAGAGGTTAAATGGCAAAATGAAAGAGGAGTAGTAGCTGGAGAAAAGACCCAAGTGAGTGATGTCTTAGAGTAAGTCTGGAGCAGGGTCTCCCTTCAGACCTCGCTGGCTGCCTGTGTTCCAGGGCCCTGGACATGAGGCTTCCCCTTGGTTCTGCTGTTAGTCCATGGCCTCCAAGCCCTGGAACACAGTGGCCTTTGGCCTGCAGGAGCTCCTAGGAAACCTGACATGTACAGGGGGCCGAAGGGCTGAGTTCCTCTTAGCTTGATGGATCCATTGACCATTTGACAGTACTTGGTAGAGTCTGAGGCATATGAACTACTTTTGTTACTCCTGAGAAAGAAAACTCCAGGCCAAGTCCAGAGTTGGTATATTTGCCAACCATCTGTCCTTTCAGTGATTGTTTCTGAACTATGGTGACAGTTTCTATTTTCTGGAATATTTCAGGGAGGCAAAGTGTCCTTGCACTCTTCTGTGTGAGTATGCACACCTGTGAACAACCTTAGGCTGGCCCATCTTGTTCCTTTATTGGTTTCCTGGGGTTCTGACTGCATGCCCCTTGCACCTCCCTCCTGGACTAACCCTTCTTGTGACCTTGTAGAGTCTTTATGTCCTTCATTTGATTTTTTCCTTCCTCTTCCCCAGAGCCAAGCTATGCGAATCGTGCGAACAGTGGGGCAGGCCTTTGAGGTCTGCCACAAGCTGAGCCTACAGCACACACAGCAGAATGCAGATGGCCAGGAAGATGGGGAGAGCGAGAGGAACAGCAATAGCTCAGGGGACCCCGGCAGGGACCCAGGTAGGTACTGTCGCTACAGTAGATGTGGCTAGAGAGGCAGGTAGATACCCAGTGGGTGCTGGTGGGCCACTCCCCAAAGGCCAGGTGATTCCTATACTTAGAAAACATTTCACTTTTTCTCTTTCTAGAATCCCAGATTTCTCTAAGGGACATGTATTTCTTTTTTATAAGAGAAAACTAAAGATGTTTATTAAAGCAAGAGGCATTTAAGATGATGTCAGGGAATAGTTTCCAAAGGTAGAACTATCTATGCTACCACATATGATCCCAAAGAAATTTTTCAAAAATACAGCCCTATAAGTCAAATTAAAGAAATTATTTCCCAATTATTTTTATTTTTTAAGATGTTTAACTTCTGCAGTAATATAAGCCCTCAGTGTGGATGGTATTTCAGTATCTTCAATTTTCAAGCCTTATTAAAAGCAAGAAGGAGACAAGGATATTTTTATCATCTCTGCTATTCAATAGTGGTGGGAAATACCAAGAATATAAGCTGAAAATTATTAGAATTAATAACATTCACTTAAGCTAAGCAAAGTCCAGTATCACATAGACATTTATTATTTTCATATATTCCTGTAACTGGTAACAAAGAGTTGTGAAAGAAAAACATAGCAATTTTCAAAATAAAATATTTATGGATAAATATATTGTTTTATATAAAAATACTAAAGAGCGTACCATGTTCTTGGATGGGAAATCTCAATGTCATAGAAATGTTAATTCTCCCTATGTTAATCTATAAATTTTAGCATAATCCAAATTGCTAACAGCAAAGGGGGGAAGCATGGTAAATTATAGTATTCAAAACTTATGAGATATAGCTAAAAGAATGCTCAAGGAAAATCCAGAGTTTCAGTTATTTATGTTAATAGAAGACAAATCTAGAAAGTCAAATGAATTAACCATCCATCTCAGAAAGTTAGAAGACAATGAAATAAGTCTTATACTGTTAAGTGGTAGTATTGCAAAGTACTTGAAAGAACAGACTCTTGGTTTACATTCTAGTATACCAGTCCGTGGCTGTGTGATCTTGGGCAAGTTCTATAACCTCTCTGTGCCTTAGTTTCCTCTTCTGAAAAATAAGAATCCTAGTAGTGTCTATCTCATAGAAATACTGTCATAATTAGATGAACTGATACATTTAAAATGCCATGTCTGGTGCTTGGCATATAAAAAGCAATAAATACATGTCAGTTATTACTTTAATGTAAATATGAGAAAAAATTTTTAAAAGAATAGAAAAAATTCTGGCAGAGAGGAGCAATGACAGTGGAGGGGCTTTCTAGATGTAAAGACATATGATGAAGCTGGAATAAGTAAAACTGTACTGATGCCTGAATATGTCCCTGAGTGGATCAGAAGAGAAACTCAGAAACAGACATAGTTGCAGGAACACTGTGGGAATAGTAGTTAAATTTGTCTTCTGACCCCCAAATTTCCCTCAAATTCCTTTCTGAGAATTTATCCTGAAGACAGACCCATACATTTGTGAAATGATGAATGTGCAGTATAAGCAATGAGTCAATTTAAAAATCAAAGGACTTGAAGCAGAAAAAAGTGATTTTTAAATAAATTGTAGTACAAATAATGGAATATTGTACAACCATTAAGATTGACTCGGTTATCTATTAATTGATATAAAGCCATCTTCAAGATACTTTGTTTATTGAGAAAATCAGAATTATAAATATATTGTACTACCAATTACAGTGTACTACAAATACATAGATATAAATGTATGTGTATCTAATCACATATGTGTACATAGATGTGGACACCTGTATTTCTTATGCATAGATTATTTCTGGCATGATGCACAAGAAACTGGTAGCTGCGGTTCACTCTGGTTAGGGTGATGAGAAGATTTACTTTCCACTGTACTTTTAAAACTTTTGTACTTTGAGCATATATTAGTCATAAATTTAGAAAACCTGACATTTTCATCCAGGGCTCAGTTTCTGTGCAACCACAGGGACTCGCCTTACTTTTTTCTTCTATTTTTATTAAATAGTGGTATTCTTTAACTAATACAGGCATCTCAGTGATCTTGGCTAATAATAAATTATCACATAGACAGAGTCTTGCATTTTGCTGTGTATTCTTGACCAGTCACAGCTCATAGCGAGCCACAGTACTAATGTAAAGTTTTGAAAATTCTCCATCTTTGTGTTCTGAAGCTTAGAGATAAAACAGAATTACAGGCAGACTTCTGCAAATATTGCACGAGTCTCTGCTGGCTAATGAGTAGAACATAATGGTGACGGTTGCCTATAAGCATGCCCTGGTGACCTCTGTGAGGCCATGGCTGTCCCCTTTGCTCAGAGACCAGAAGCCGATCTGCTCACTTCTGCACTGAGCGTGAGTCAGAGCTGCTTGCTGGGGAGGAGGGGTGCCTTGCCTCCTTAGTGCTGCTTCGGTGCTGTCTTGTGGGTGGCGAGCTGCCGCCTTACTCTCAAGAGCTTTCAAACCCACAGTCACATTGGCCATCACTATACTGGTATATGAAGACATTCTCACCTGAAAGTCAAGTCTCTGGTGAAGCCATTTATTCCTGGAATAAAAGGGGCTGGACACAGGGAGAGTGTCCAGAGGCTGAGCATTTTAACATTGCTGTTGACACACGAGTTCAGTCTCAGGAGACTGATCTATCTCTAAGTACCTAATCTGAACCCACTGCTCAGCTGCTGGCCAGAGAGGTCTAAGTGGCTTTATTTTTGCCTATGTTTCTGTTTCTTTGATAGTGCTGGGGACCAAACTCAGGGCCTTGTGCATGGTAGACAAGTGATCTACCACTGAGGTACACCCCAAACCCCTTGGTTGGGGTGTGTGTGTGTGTGTGTGTGTGTGTGTGTGTATATGTTGTACTGGGGATTGAACCCAGGGCTTTTACACTGAGCTATATCCCCAGCCTATATATATAAGTTTTCGGAGACAGAGTCTCAATAAACTGCCCAGACTAGGCTCAGACTTGTGATCCTCCTGCCTCAACGCTCCCAGAGTGCTGAGACTGTAGGTAGACACCACCATGCCCAGCTTGGGTTGGCCCTCTGAAGAGAACTGCTTGTGTAGTGTTTCACAACACTGAGGGGTAAGTCTCATTCCCTCCTGCAGCAGGACCTCCCCTCTCCTCTGCAGCCATCTGCTGGATGGGCGGGTTGGTGTGATCTCCTGAAGATTCTCTCTGAAGAGTCAGCAGGCATTCCAACAGGGACCACTTATGCTTTTCTTTCTGCCCTACTTCCCTGACTCCTCCCTGTGTACCATGAGCTCCTCCCTGCCCCAAATGTGTCGTGCACTTGTCAGCCATTCTTAATGTGTCTGCATTCACCTTCATGCAGACTTCTAGCTTGTCCTGCAGACCCAGCCTTGGGTCTTCTTGGAAGCCTGCTCTCCAGCTCCTCTTTTCTTCTCTTCCCCTCCCCTCCTAGAAAATTCAGACACTCTTTCATTTATTATTCTGGGTCCCTTCATTCCTGGCCAGTAATGTTGACATTAGCATTCAACCCTCTGTGTACCAGACATGCACGTCTTCTATCTTTAATGGCATGTGAGCTCAGGAGGATAGGCATTTCCTAGCACAATAATTATGTGTTGAATAAAGTGACAGACACTGTCAGTGAGTGCTACCATGAGTGCAGGTGTATTAGTCATTGTCACAAGCATTTATCAAGCACTCTATGCCAAGATGAGCATGGAGATTGAAGATAGATTTCAAAAGGGAGTGACCTTTAGGCAGCCTTGTTGATAATGATGACACTTGGGATGGGGGAGTCAGCAGAATGGAGGTAATAAAACACCGAGGGAGAGATTGGAAGCTGAATAGAGCACCCACAGGAAGGTATCGATGGTGACAGTGGGTATGGAGGGAGACCACTGCCGTTTACTCTGTGGCTGTGATGGTCAGTATGGAGCTAAGGAGTCCTCCACCCATATTCACTCTCCTTTTATTACCTTTTGAGAGATAATTTTCTTAGGTCACATTATTATACATGAGACCTCAGCTACTAGGCATATTTCACATACACTCTCCCTAAGAAGAATGTAATTGGTATTCTACATGTAGAAACAGCTGACAGCATTTTAGGAAAGCCTGTCAGAAACAGGATAGTGTATTCAAATTTTGCAGTGTCAAGATCAGGCCTGGGTTGGTGGCCTCTGATGCATACTGGAAACCTGTCACAGGGATTGGGCTGTCGTAGGAAGCAAAGTTCCTGGGCTGCCCATGTCTGTATAGATGGTGATGTGACTTGAGAATGAGACACATTATGTTAGGAATACACACACACACACACACACACACACACACACACACTCCCCTCAAAAGGGAGATTTACTCTAAAGAATTGATTCACATGACTGTAGAAGTTTATTGAATCAAAAGTTTGCGAGATGGGGTCTGCAGGGTGAAGACTTGGTTTGAGTCCAAATTCTCCTTTCCTCCAGAGAAGTCGAACTTTGTTCTATTCGGGCTTTCAGCTGATCAGATGAGTCCACCTCCATTGGGGAGGGCAATCCACTTGACTCATCGTCTGCTAAGTTACATGTGATTCGCATTTAAAAAACACCACCACAGCAACCTCTAGAATGCCATTTGGCCATATACCTGGGTTTGGCAGTGGCTTTACCCAGGTGGCACAAAAGTTCGGCATCACAGAATGGGGGCGGGCGCTGTGACAGAGGGCTAGGGTGGTGACTAGAAGCACAGATGACTGGACTTGAATCCAGACCCTGCCACTTGTCAGCTGACAGGTCCTCAGCAAACTGCGCGCTGACTCTGGACTTTTTAGGGTGTGGTGAGAGAATGTGAGTCAGTGGGCACGGACCTGGCCTATAATATGCCTTCCATGAGCAGTAGCTATTTATCTCAAGTTCCAGGGCTGACTCTACAACATACGGCCTTGTCTGTACAGTGAGTGGAGGGGACAGGGACATCTCTGAAGTAGTGTCATTTATTTTATGAAAGATCCAAGTGGAATGATTGATGAGGCACCCTCTGG